CTCTTATAAAGGGAACAATGGTTGACACAGAATCATTTGTCTCTTACAAGGGGAACAAAAGTTGACACAGCGAACAGGTTACTAAGGTGGGGGGGGGGAACGACACATACAGAATGATGACGAGGTCAGTTAATTTATAACAAATTTATAACAATGTGGTCGGTGCTCCAGGTACATGGTTACTAGGGCAATAAGCATAGAGCATAACACACATCAGCATAAATGTGTCCTTTAGTCTGTTCCTTTCCTGACTGGAATAAAAATGCACTAGTGTCAAGGATGTGTACTGTTCAGTAGTGTCCTGACGTTGTGTTTGTCTCCTCTGGCACACACACATCTAGCACAGTAGCTGCACCAGGCCTCTACCAGTCTGTGGTAATCCACTGCCATCTTGCAAGGGCCACTTATTTTTTGCAAGGCCAGATACTGAGTTAAACCTGGGTATGACAGGAACTGGAGGTGTTTTATATCCATAATGATGTCGCCAATACTTTGTCCTCTCCTGAGATAGTATTATCTGATTTCTTGTGTGTTAGGAACTGGATGTGTCTCGCCAAATTCACAAGTTGAAATTGTAACATGCTCTGTGTCTCTGGGCTCTAATTAGTTAGTTTCCACTGAAACTAACTAACAATCTTTGTCCAGTGGGACTGCTAAAACGTACCAGGCTGGATGTGCCAAGGTATTTCTTGTGGCTACTGACACTAGAAAATCTAAGATTAAGGTGCCATCAGTCTATCTTTGAGGGCCGACTTCCTGGTTCAGATGGCCATCCTGTCATTTTACAAAACTGGATCCTTGTACAAGGGGGGGGCAAAAGCACTGAGAGCAACTTTATAAGGTTTTAAGTCCATTCCAAAGCTGGGCATGGTGGCTCACGCCTATAATCCCAGCACTCAGGAGGCTGAGGCAGGAGGATTGTTGTGAGTTCAAGACCAGCCTGGGCTACAAAGTGAGCTCAAGGCCATCCTGAACTGCATAGTGAGACCCTGTCTCAAGACAAAAAAAAAAGTCCATTCCAAATCACCTCCAAGGATCCCAGCTCCAAGTATCAGGAACTAGGTTTCAGCATATGAAATTTAGGGGGACACATTCAACCTATGGCAGATGAGATCACGAAGATAAGGCCTACATATCAGAATTGCCATATTTTTGTAAATCATTGTTTAAAAAAAAAAAAAAACCTATGCTCCTCTCTTCACACACATGCACTGAGAAAAGGTCATGTGAGGATATAAGGTTCTCTCTGTAAGACAAAGACCCTCACTAGAGACTGACTGCCAGTTTACTAAGCATCGCCACCTGGCTCTCCAGTGTTTTGTGCTTCCTATTATCCGCATGGTTACCAATGAGTCAAGGTTCATCAAGCCAGTTACCTTTGTGAACTTTCCCGTGATGCCTTTGCTCATGCCTGTCACCTTCTGGCTGAGTGTAATGTACCCATCCTACTTTACACACTTCCCTGGGCCTTTCAGTCTCTTCTTGGCCCACCAGCTTGCCCTAGCACTTCTGGTACTTTAGTTTCATTCCATGGAAGTCACTGCTTTTTCCATGCCTTTAGGCTTTCCGGTTAGCTCTTGCCAGTTCTCAGGGTCCTTGCCAGGATGCTCAATCTTGTACTTTAGAACACTGTAAATGTAACACTATGTTTCCTGCCCAGCTTTGTGTTCTTGCCATCCTTGTTCAAGTATCCACAGATCCAGCAATCCCTGTAGTCCCCAAGCTCCCGTTGGCACATGCTGCATAGGTCTTGAATGTTCTTTGGGTACACATGTCACTGGGCATGGCACCTTCCGTTAGGTTGTACTATCACTTAACTGTAATTACTGGGACAAATAGGAAGGGAAGGTGGGAAGTGCTGGGGTAGGGGTAAATGTACTGTCTGTATTGTCTTCTAGATAGGAATCTTCTACAGTTATTTCTAATGATAACTCTAGTAGGGAAGGGCCACACTGGGCACCAAAGGAGCTTGAAGAATCAAAATTTCCTGGAGCTCTACCCACCCAGTTGACCGCTATATGTATTCTCAATCACAGGCCTGGCTTTGGCATAACAGACTGACTGGAGCACTTCTAAATTCTGCCACTCTTAAAATTCTGGTCCTGGTATTCTACTTTCCCCTTGCAGATGAGAGCCTATTTGTGTGCAACCTTCAAAGAGGTGTTGTGGCTTTCACATCTGACTCAATTACTTATGTAGGCATTTCCAGGTGTTATTTTTCTGTATATAATGAAGTCGAAAAGCAGCCACAATTGTTACCTTCCACAGTATGTCTGGAGGAGCCTGATATGCTAAGCATACCTGTTAGTAGATTCATTTTGACCTGGTATATTATCCTAAATGAGCCCTACTCATATTAGAGGCTATGATTTGCCTACCAATAACCAGGTAGTCCATAACTCAGCTCCCTTGATTTTACTGCCTATTTTCCCAACCAATCCTGGTGCTAATTCTTATAGGTAAGCTTCTTGGAAAGCATATGCTAAGAACAGAAATAGTGGTACAACACATAAAAGGAAGAGAAAGCAGGATAGAAACAAGTCAAATTCCAGCTCCAACAGTTTTGGCCAACCAGACCAAGAGCTCTGGAGTCAAGACTGCCCATCAGAGGTGCCAGGTGGGCTCTAATGGGTGAGCCTTTAAACTGCTGTCTCACTTAGCCTAGATTTCTTTGCAAAGGAAACCTTGCACAGGGATATGTCTGCAGCTGACGCCAACTCTGATGGAGCTAAGCACTGGAAATATTCCCTGTAGCTTGGAGCCTGATCTTTCTTGACAAGTGATCTTGGAGAGTGTATCTCATCTATCACAAGAGACAGAGATATGCAACACATCCTCTTTTGAAGGAGCCCAGAGTACTTACTCCATTTTTCACCTTCTGAGAAAGTTTTGTTAAGCTGATGAGGGGTGAGAGGAGCACAGCTGAGAATGCCACTGGTAATTGTCCTCTTACTTGCTCTTTTTTTGCCTTGCTATCATGACTCTTTTTTTCCGGTGATGTTTTACTCATTTTTTTTTTGTCTTTTTCGTTTTTTATTGGTACCAGGGATCGAATACATGACTGCCTGCTTGCAAGGCAGGCGCTTATGCCGCTGAGCTAAATCCCCAGCCTCACTCATTTTTTTTTAATTGCTAGGACAAAATACAAGACACCCACAACATGGAGAAGTTTATTTTGCCTCACTTTTCGGTTCCTAGTCATAGGCTCCAAGGCAGTACAACATGGCGCAGCGCCAGGGCGAGGCCTAGCTGCGCACCTCAGGGCAGCCAAAAGGCAGGGGGAAGGGAAAATACCAGAAAGGAGATAGCCCTTTCCAGGTGGTGCCCCACCAGTGACCCTCCTCTTCCAACCAGACCCCACCTCTCAATAGCAAGATATAAGTTAGACTTTAATCACTTTCCAAAGCCTGGCTCTGGGCACGTGAGCCTGTGGGTACATTAGGATAGAAGCCATACAGTGAGCAGAGGCCACCCAGAACAGTTAGTACAGGTAGAACAGTGACTATAGTGAGAGCTAAAAGAAATGGAAGACTCTCCCACTATTCAGCCCGAGAGTTTAAAAGTGTCAGAGTCTGTCAGTACAAGGAAATGAGGCACCAGGTCACAGTTCGTAGATGCAAAACAGCAGCACAGGTCGTATTTTCTAATTCTATCCTTGGTCTCTAGAGTTATCTACTGGCTCGATTTGGGATTTTGGTCTCTTCGGGAATAACGCACGTAAAATACATATCTAGATCTTAGTGTGTCTAAGAATAATGATCTCTCCTACCAAACACAGATCCTTGGCTTTGAAAAAGGCCACATCTAGATGTTGAGGTTTAAAACTAAAATCACTGTCGCCTCGGTCTCCTTTCCTTACATACTATCGTGAGTCCTCCGGGCTCTCGACACCTCCACGGCGCGCGGAGACTCGGTCCTCGCTGACCGCCCGTCTCCGTCCCCAAACGCGCAGCCTGGCTTGGCCCGGCTCCACGCTCCTCAGCCAGGAAGCGCGGGGTCTCTGCACGCGGCCGCCTCTCGGTCCCTCCGAGACCTCCGTCTGCTTCTCCCGGGTGCCGCTGCCAGCGTTCCCGGAAACGCCCGCCGCTCTGGAGCGCTGCGTCCCTTCAGCGCGGTGCCCGCCCTGAGAGACCGAGGCGGGGCCAGACCGAGCTGCACGCCGAGACCCTGCCCTGAATCAAAATCAGTCCAACACCCACCACACGGCATGCGCTGGTCCCGGGCAAAGGACCCCACGGACGCAGGCTGAGGGCGCGCGAGGCCAGGAGACGTGCTGCCCAGGGCGGCCAGCGGAAGCCCTGAACTCGCCTGCCTCGTGGGGCCCGGCGGGAACCTGCGCTCGCCCCGGCGGCGACGGCGCCCACACGCTGGGCCCGCGCTAGACGCGACTCGGAAGCACCGAGCCACGCGAGGGCTGGTGGTCATTTTCCGAGCCTCGTCTCCTCGGCAACCACGCTTGAGCGCGTGCGCAAAGCAGAGGCGGGGCCCGCAGCAGGGCCTGCTCCGGAAGCCGCGCGTTTGGAGCGTCCCGCCGAGGTTGACCTGAGAGACGCTAAATCGCGTAACAGTCCGCGGTGAAAGCGCGCACGAGAGCGCCAATGAAAGCGGGCGGAGAGGCCCGCTCGGAAGAACGTTCTGTGTTGCGGATCGTAATTGGTGGAAGGGTCTGTCCTTTCACAGTACTGGCTGTCCTTTCTTTTCCCTCCCACTCAATTGGCTTTTGTCTAGATACTTCTGATTGGAACCTCCTGGTGTTGGGGGCGTGGTTTTGGGGACTGTTAGAGATTGGCGCCTTTGACCACCTCCGGGCTTGTTGAGGAAGGGGCCAGTCCCATGTTTTCTCTGTCCCGCCTGCCGACCCGTACGCTTTCCCTAGTTTCGCGCGCACGAATAGTTAAAAAAAAAAGTCTTATCTGCTTAATCCCGTTTGTCAGAGGGCCAGCGCTCGCGCGCTCTGCGGAGGACCCTTGTGGGCTGCCCGGGGCGGTGCCTGCGCGGTTTGAATCCGCGGCACCCATTAACACCAGGCGCTGTTGTTGTCACGGCCCGAACCCTGCGAGTGGGGACGCGTCGGGAGCGAGGCGGCTCTGCCTGGCTCGCTGCGACGCGTGCACCCGGAACCGGCGTGTGTCAGGCCGCCTGGGCGCGGCCCGGCGGGCGGGCGGGCGGAGGCGCGGGGTCCTCGCGGAGGAAAACGCGCCAAGTTCCCTCGGCGGCGGCGGCGGCGGCGGCGGCAGCGGCAGCAGCGGCAGGCGCGGAGCGGGGACCGCGCGGCTCGCGAGCGGCCTGGCAGGCGCCGCTCGTGATGTGAGCGCCGGCCGGGCCGGAACGGGCTCGGCGGCTGCCCACGCGCGGCGGGCCGAGCCATGACCGGGTGAGTGGCGCCTGGCGCGGCGGGCGGAGGTCCGGACGGGCAGAGCGTCGGCGGGCCGCCTGGCCCCGCGCGGGACCGCGGGGAGCGGGCGCCATGTGTCCCGCCGTGGCTGCGGGATAGGGCTGTCGCGCTTCCGGGAGGAGCGGAGCGGATTCGGGGACTGGGGCTGCCGAGGACGCCCAGTGACAGCGCGGGTGTCGGGGACGCGGCGCCGGCCGGCCGGGATGGGGCGGGGCTCGCGGGCCGGAGCCTGGAGCCTGGCGGGGCTGCACCAGTGGGACTCAGGGTCGCGGCCGCGCCCACTGTCCGACCCTGCCACCCAGGACGCGGCTGCCGGCCCACGAGCCGCAGTCGGGTCCTCGGACGGAGCGCGGCGAGGGCAGGGACGCGGCGCCTCGAACCTGGGACGGGACCCGCAGCTGACTCCAGGCAGAGGAAGGAGACTGACGCCTAGCAGCTTCCACGCTAACTTCACTCAGGAGTTTCACAGGGTAGCAAGTCTTTATAGCGTCTTTTTTTCTACTCAGGAGCAGTTTTTTTTTTTTAAACCCAGTTTTTAAAGAGTTTGGAGAACTAGAGTAGTGTGGAGCGTAGCACCATGAGAATTTGATACGCAGAAAGTGTGGCAAGTACTGCCTCAGCCTTAGTTGTTTTCTGTTTCGCACAAGTTTATAGGTTATAAACGAGCACTGCTAAAGTCTTGCCGTTCATTGTTATGTTGTAAGCTTTTTAGCGATGTTAATACATTCGCGTTAACTGAGAAGACTGCAAGAGGGACTCCCTGGTGTCCCCAGCTATCGTTTTTCCATTCATCCGTGTTTACTGCCTCATAATTTAGAGTTAGAGATGGTTGTTACTGTTTAGTCTTTGTTTTTTGAATGAACTAATAAATCACAAGGAGAAATTGAGGTTTTGTTTTTGGACAGGATCTTGCTGCTGTATAACTGAGGCTGATTTGGAATTTGTAGCAACCTTGCCTCTGCCTTCCAAGTGCTGGGATTAAAAGGCGTGCACCAACATACCAGGCTCAATTTTTCACGTTTTGTTTGTTTTTGTTTTTGGCGTGATACTGAGGATTGAATCCAGGGCCTTTGCACTGAGCTGCAGCCCCAGGCCTTTATTTTTTGGAACAGTCATGCTAAATTACCCAGGCTGGGCTTGATTTTGTGATTTTTCTTGCCTCAGCCTCTTAGAGTGCTGGAGTTGCATGTGTGCCTCAGCAGTTTCACTAAAGGTCTGCTAAACGGTGTATTGTGGCCTGTAGTCGCTAGTAAGCTAATAAGTTCAGTGTCACATTTTTGCCTCCCCTCACCCCAGTACTGGGCTCGAACTTGGGGTGCTCTGCCACTGAGCCACATCTTTTTTTTTTTTTTTTTTGCATTTTGAGATAGGGTCTTCCTCTATAGCACAAGTTGACCTCAATACCCTGCCTCAGGCATCCCAGTGGTGGGATACTGGACATTCTCTGATATGCACAGCCACAGTTTTTGTTCTTTAAAGAATAACACAGGCTAATGCCTGTAATCTCGATACTCTAGGGGCTGTGGCAGGCAGAGCACAGGTTTGAGACCAGCCTAGACCACATAACCAGACACTGTTAACAAAAGCTAAGCAAGTTAGAAGGATTTGGCAAGCTCCTTCCATTTAAGGAGTAAAATCGAATCTGATTGCCAGGCAGTAGGTTTGAAGTTCTTAGTGTTCCCTCAGTAAATCTATCTCACAACTGATGATTGTGTTGTTTACTACACTGATAAGTGAGGATTACTAAGACTTTTTTTGGTTTGTGATTTAACAGATAAAATTGCTGTTGATTACAGTTGCCCTCTGTAAATTCTCATCAGCTCCTTGGGACCTGGAAAGAAGATGCCTGGTGTCATACCTAGTGAAAGTAATGGGCTTTCAAGAGGCAGTCCATCCAAGAAAAACAGACTTTCCTTGAAGTTTTTTCAGAAAAAGGAAACTAAGAGAGCCTTGGATTTTACAGACTCTCAAGAAAATGAAGGAAAAGCTTCTGAATATAGAGGATCAGAAATGTATGTATTTTAAGTGTATTTCTGCGCTTTGAATCATGAAGAAGCAGGGAACTTGGGTTGAAACAGACCAGAGAGGTGGTCAGAGTGTGAGACAACACTGTGGGGAGACCTGCCTAGGCAGAAGGGGGCAGTAGAATCCAGGCTCCTCTAGGTCACACTATGCTTATTCAGTGTTTATGCTGGCCTGCTTCATTAAGGTCAGTGTGGAGCTGTATTAATTACCTTTCAGAGTTCACACTCGGTTATTTTGTAGTGCAACACCCTATATAAGGGTAGAGATAGGTGACTTGGGGAATGCCTCACAGGACTTGACACTTCCTGTAGTAATTTTGGCTCTGTAATTCCATAGTTACATGTAGATATGTAGGTATGTGGTCATAACTGTGTATAGCTCCTATTACTAATAGTTAAACCAAACTTAAAACTGGGTATGGCGTTGCACCAGTGTAATCCCAGCACTCTGGGAGGCTGAGACTAGAAGATCGCAAGTTCTAGCCTGGCCTAGGCTGGTTAACAATTTAGTGAGACTGGCTGAAATTAAAAATAAATAAATAAATAGAAATTAAAAAGTGGGGATGTAGCACAGAGCACAGGCCTTGGGCTCAAGTCCCAGTACAAAAAACCCAAAAGACAAACTCAACAAGCCTTAAAGATTCTTCAGTGACAAAGTTTGTGCAAAATGGATACTTACTCCAGATTGCTCCAACTGGGGCTCTGCTGGCTCCTCAAGTCACAGGCGCTGTACAGGGGACTGAAGTGGATTTGGTGCCACATGTGGCTTCTTAACATTCATCAGTGATGAGTTGAAATTGTGCACCTTTCACTCACCAGCGTTCATTCTCGTCCGTTCTTCAAGGTGCTAGTGTAACAGCCACTGGTTATGAAGTGAATTCTGTGGGCCCCACTGTGCTGCAGAGTGATAAACATAAGCAACTGAGGAGGATAGCTGCACAGTCTTTGTATTTGTTAACAGAACCTGACTAGGGTGGCCTTACAAATATTGTCCTAAAGTTATTCCAAGGTGACTGTTCAGAATTAAATTATTAAAATGTCCTGGTGAGCTAGACGGAGCAGTCCTAGTTTCTCAGGTTTTTACTCTGGAAAAGAAGATATTTTATTTTGAGGCATGTTGAGTGAAATGATGTTTTAAAATATCTTAATCTGAATATATAGCATTTTTGAGGTTGTATGGAGTTGTTAAAACTTCGTCTGAAATTTTGTGCTCTTAAGATGCTATTTCATTCTGCCTTTCTCCCCCACTCCAAAGTGATCAGGTTGTTCCTGCAGCACAGTCCTCGCCTGTAAACTGCGAGAAGAGAGAAAATCTGTTGCCTTTTGTGGGACTGAATAATCTTGGCAATACTTGTTATCTTAATAGTATACTTCAGGTAAAGTGCTAATTTTGCTCTGTACTAAATAAAACATTGAGGCACACCACTTTTTACACCACTTTTTAGTGGTGTAACATTGATTTCTGAGAAATTCAGGTTCGTGGAAGACTAATCATTCATATCATCTTTGCCTTTGTAAATGAACTAGAGTGGGCTAAAATGATAATTCTAATTGCATGTTACTAAATGTCCTTGTGGTACGAGAAAATAGCGCAGTCAGTAAAGGTGAAATTGCGCATCCATCCGGGTTACATGGAGCCCTTTATTTCTCTGTCCGATTCCTGCTGTGTGGCCTCCTGGTAACACAGTCCTGGTAATCTCAAACCATAGCATCTTAGTCTAAGCCAGGCATGCAGCCTAGGCCAGTGATAGAGGCCAAAGGGCTTCATGAAGGTGGGACCGTGGGTGATGGTGTAGATACGTTTGTGCCATAAGCAGTCTTTCTTTTTGTAGGTACTATATTTTTGTCCTGGTTTTAAGTCTGGAGTGAAGCACTTATTTAATATTATCTCAAAGAAGAACGAGGCACTAAAGGATGAAGCCAATCAAAAAGACAAGGTAAAAAAAAGCAAAAATAATGAAGTTTTAAAAATGAGCAATAATGTAATGGATAAGAAATAATAGGTTCTCAGGAACTTTTGGGAGGAAGAGGACAAGGGACTATTTTCTCCATCCCTTCCGTGTATTGTTTGTTGTACTTGGCATTTGTGTACCATAATTGCAGTCTGTCATAACTATTATCCACTGTGTTTTAAATTTTGGGAGATACTGAGGATTGAACTCAAGGTGCAGTCTGTGTTGACTGTGCTTTACCACTGAGCCACATAATCCTAGAGCCAACTTTAAAGAATGTATTTAAGGAAATCTCTCACTTAACCATTGCTATCCACATAGAATGTCACTTTGAAAAGGTCATAGCCAGGATGGTGCCCTCCTGAATCCCAGCACTCTGGGGGAGAGGTGGAAGGGATACAGGTTCAGCCATCTCAAAAGGGATGGGACTCACATTTTCTGTTGTCAGGAAGTTTAGTTAATGTGCCCAGTATAGTTAGCCCTATAATGAAATTCAGTTTAGAAAAGCCAGTATCACTTAATGAAACCAATCCAGATTGAAGACAGTATTTAATCTGTTCATAAATGAAAATTCTGATTTCCTTGACAGGGAAATTGCAAAGAAGATTCTTCAGCAAGTTACGAACTTATATGCAGCTTACAGTCCTTAATCATTTCAGTGGAACAGCTGCAGGCGAGTTTCCTCTTAAATCCAGAGAAATACACTGACGAGCTTGCCACGCAGCCACGGCGGCTGCTGAACACACTCAGGTACCGCCCATGTGGTCACAGTTGTAACGCGCTGCTTGCTTGCCTGCCAGCCTTCCTGGAGTTACATGTGAATCCAGAGTAAGACTGAAACACCAGGTTCATAGCCCTTTATAGCCCAGAAGCGCCAAGAAACGGAAGTGTTATCAGAAGTTTGATACTAAATTCATTAGATTTCAATTTGGATGAGGCCATTTATGGCCGTTATTCATACTTATCACTAATGTGAATATTCATGAGCTTTCCTGTGAAAATTATGATGTTTAAACCAATTAGAGTCTTATCCCATACTATGATTCCCATTCTACTTGTGCGCCGTATTACCTACGGGTCTGAAAATTTGAGAATTCCTGAACATGTGATCCTAAGGATTTCAGATTAGGAATTGTAGGTTTAATCAACGTGTCTTACATGTGAGAATTGTTAAGTTACTGCATTTTATTTTTATTACATATGCTTAGGAAAAAACTCATTTAACAGGATTAGATTGCTTTGTGATATGTTAAAAACGAAACAATTAGAAAATAGCATTTAAAATTTAATTAGGGTTTTTAGTTTGTTTTTGGAGGTAGGAGAGTTTTATTAGAAATTACAACAGCTCGGGGCTGGGGATTTAGCTCAGCGGCATAAGCGCCCGCCTTGCAAGCAGGTAGTCATGAGTTAGTACCGATAAAAACGGAAAAAAAAAAAAAAAAGGAATTACAATGGCTCCTGGATTTTCAGGAGGGATCCTGAGTGGGTGACCCTAAAGGGTGTTTTTAAAAAACTCATTTGTTCAGCTTGAAATAGACATAGGGTGGTGCGCTGCGTTACCTTGCAGACGCTGTAGCGTGGTGGTCCTCAAGAGCATGTTTAAGTCCTAGCTTTCCTCCTGCCTGTGCAGCTCTGGATGACCCTGGGGGAGGTATGTGCTTCCTGACTCTCTGCCCATCACTGTCCGCTTCGATAACAGTACCTACCTCTTGGAGCTAATTGTGAGGTTTTATACATCTATAAAAAGCACTTTTTTATAAAACTCAAATGCTGTGTCAGCCACTGTTAATGTATTTAGATCAAAGTGTTATAATGAAAATAGGGTAAAGTGTTCTTTTAGTTGTAAGTTTAGGTATAACGATTTGTTAGTCCTTTAGGTTTTTAAAATGCATTTTTAGAAGGGTTTTCTGTAGTATATCTTTGTAACTAGAGTACATGAAACGGACATTTTTATTTATAGGGAACTCAACCCCATGTATGAAGGATATTTACAGCATGATGCACAGGAGGTGTTGCAGTGTATTTTGGGAAACATTCAGGAAACATGCCAACTCCTAAAAAAAGAAGTAAAAAATGTGGCAGAATTACCTCCAAAGGTAGAAGAACCCCATCCGAAAGAGGAAGCGAGTGTAATGAACAGAATGGACGTGGACAGTGTGAAGAATTCTGAGGACCATAAAGAAAAACCTCCAAAAGGCAATGGGAAAAGAAAAAGTGACACTGAATTTGGTAACATGAAGAAAAAAGCCAAAGTTGCCAAAGAACACCAGTCACTGGATGAGAACCAGAGACAGACTAGATCCAAAAGAAGAGCGTCTGGGGATGTGCTGGAGGGCACCCCCCAAGTGACCCCTGAGTGTGCTTCTGAGTGCCAGGGTGCACGAGCCTCACAGAAGAAATCAAGAGTAAAAATAAACTGGTTAAAGTCTGCAACAAAGCAGCCCAGCATCCTCTCTAAGTTCTGTAGTCTGGGAAAACTAAGAGCAAACCAAGGCCCCAAAGGACAGTGTAAAGAGGAGGAGCATGATCTGGACAGGTCCCTGGAACGTGGCGGACCTGCCAGTGTTGATGAAGCTGACCCCCTAAGCAGAGGTACTTATGAGTCTTTGGCTCTGATAAGCAGAAGTGTTAACAGCTCCAGGAATAGAATTTTTGGGGGGGATGAATAATCTGGCTGAAATTTTTATGTAAGAATGTAATTTAACACTGAATGTATTTTAAAAACTGGCTTTGTGGAATGTTAATTTATGGCTAAAGAAACAAGCACATTTTAATGGGAAGGTTGTATTTTCTCTCATCTATGTAGCATTTTACATAAAACTAGAGGGAATTGCTTTCAGTCAAAAAAGACAGTGGTGTGTGGGAAAGGATGGAGGACTCACATTGCACGAATAAAGGACCTCTTCATGCTAACTAGCTAAGATATGAAGATGGGGCTTCTTAGTCATGAAGTTACTTCAGTGCAGACATGGCTCTCTACACCTGTATATATTTTCCTATTCTCATTTCAGGTGCTGAGCAAATAGGTTTTGAACTAGTGGAAAAATTGTTTCAGGGTCAGCTGGTATTAAGGACTCGTTGCTTGGAATGTGAGAGTTTAACTGAAAGAAGAGAAGACTTTCAGGACATCAGCGTGCCCGTACAAGAAGATGAGCTTTCCAAAGTAGAGGAGAGTTCTGAGAGTAAGCACAATTGTGTCCTTGTGTGTGGGGACCATGGGAGAATTATACACTGGTGTCTTGGTCTGAGATGTAGCCTTTTTGCTTAACTTTACTTGTTAATAGCATTTGGAAAATTGTGCATCTTTATTTTGACATAAAGTATATTAGAATGGAAAAATGAAATGCTTGAGTAACTTGGGGGTCTTCATCTTACACTGCTGTGGAGGTTATTTGTAATATAGTACTCAAGCCACTGTTGTGTCCTTTGCAGACCATAAAAGTGTGGGGTGAGATGGGAAGTAATCAGGAGGCTGGTTTACCTACTGGGAACTGTAGAAATTGGCTTTTAAATAGGGGTAGCTACACTGAGGCAGAGATCAAGCTTCAGCTGTCTTGTTTTTGCTGTCTTTGTAAGATATGAGCTCCTCAAAGCAAAAGCCTCTAGTTACCTGGGAGGAATGGGATGGTCAGCTAAAACTGGATTCTAACTTTACATATGGAACTTTGTGGTTTAATTTTTGAATACCTGAGAGATACATTTGTAAGTGATGAAAAGATTATCTTTAGTTTCTCCAGAGCCAAAAACAGAAATGAAGACCTTGAGATGGGCAATTTCACAATTTGCTTCTGTGGAGAGGATTGTAGGAGAAGATAAATATTTCTGTGAAAATTGCCATCATTACACTGAAGCTGAGCGAAGTCTTCTGTTTGACAAAATGCCTGAAGTTATAACCATTCATTTGAAGTGCTTTGCTGCTAGTGGCTTGGAGTGAGTATTTCTAAATAAAAGTTATGGGAAGAACACGCTGCTAGAGTCTAACCAAGTATTGATCAAAATGAATTTGTAGATTGCTTTAGAGAAAGTTTTGTTCTCATTAAAATGCATGTGTGTAAATCCTTTTGGTGTGAACATTCTTTAAAAGTATTTTTATCTTGCACATTCATTTTGTAGAAGTAATAGAATTCAGTTTCAGTAGAACTGATTAAAACGGAAGAAATGTTAAATACACTGACATTTTGAAGGTAGAAAGGCAAAGCCTTTTTTAGTTTTTAAGGTAAGGTAAGCTAGGAAATCAAAAGTAGTCGTTTTAGAAAAGTATGAGAAGGTGCTGTTAAGTGTGAAACTGCTCATTCCACTTTGGGTGCGGACTTGCTCTGGCACGCACATTGTGGACTTGCTGCTCGTACCTGACTTGTTGGAAACGGTGGCAGGGGTTTGCCAGTTGCTCACACATCGTTGCACCTTAGGAGGACAGTTTTTCTGCAGTCTGTGGACTTTTTCTTTTGCTATGTTTCATGTTGCTACCAAATCTTTTAAAGATACCATTAAAACCGACTAAAATGTGAAGGATTTTGGTTTCAAAAAAGTTCATTTAGGGAAATAAATGAGGAAAAAATTGTATAACCCATATAAGAAACAACTGAGTTTCAGTGTTTGTGTATATACTCAAAATTGAAGTCTTGTTTTTATTATTTCTGTGAACCCCAGGAGGTGTTCATTCAGACTTTTACTTGGTTTCACATGGGTATAAACATTTGGGCTTGACATGGAATTCCAGGCAACCTTTTTTTTTCCTGTTCAAAGGGGTGACTGTTACGGCGGTGGACTTTCCAAGATCAACACTCCCTTGCTGACACCCCTCAAGCTGTCCCTGGAAGAGTGGAGTACGCGGCCAACTAACGACAGCTATGGGTTATTTGCAGTGGTGATGCACAGCGGCATCACAATTAGCAGTGGGCATTACACAGCTTCTGTTAAAGTTACCGACCTCAGCTGCTTAGAACTAGACAAGGAGAACTTTGTGGTTGACCAGATGTTCGAAGTAGGGAAGCCAGAGCCACTGAATGAGGAGGAAGCAAGGGGTGCGGTTGAAACTTACGATGATGAAATGTCCTTGAGAGCTGGTGGAACTACACAGCCAAGTAAAGTTTTGAACAAGAAAAATGTAGAAGCTGTCGGACTTCTTGGAGGGCAGAAGAGCAAAGCAGATTACGAGCTCTACAACAAAGCGTCCAATCCTGATAAGCCTGCTGGTGTGGCATTCGCTGAAAGCAGAGATTCTGAGATCAACAGTACCAGCGGGACCCACGAAGCAGACAGGAACAAGGACTCCAGTGACCAAACAGGCATTTACATGAGTGGATTTGAGAACAAGATTTCCTGTGTAGTGCAGAGTTTAAAAGAGTATGAGGGGAAGTGGTTGCTTTTTGATGATTCTGAAGTGAAAGTTACGGAAGAGAAGGACTTTCTGAATTCTCTTTCCCCATCTACATCTCCCACATCTACTCCTTATCTGTTATTTTATAAGAAATTATAGAGGGCATATTTTCCCTGTGTATATATTAAACTGGCCTGGCCAACATTGGTAAAGTTGATTACAGCAGAGTCTTTTAGCTTGTCTTTTAAAGTTACTGGATATTATGGGTCTCTATGTTTTTATAAAATAGTGAGATTTGAAATACTGAAAAACCATGTTAATTTTTAGAATTCATTTTCCTTCATAGAGACAAGTGATTTGTTAGCTCCTGGGAACAAACAATTGACTTATCCAGAATGGAAGCATTTCAGCCTTTGGATTTACACCAGTTTTTTTTTTTTTTTTGTTTGCTTTTTAGAATAAAGTGTTTGTATTTGTATTCTCCGTATTTTGGAGAAGTTATCTACATATTTATAGGTCTGTGCTTTTTCACCTAAGGAATAGAATTCCATTCAATAGATTTAGCTTCCTCAGCCAAGAAGCCAGATCTCTGATGGGCTGTGTCACAGGCACAAAATCTAGATGGTGGTGTTCAGGCAGGGGCATGCGATTCGTGCCTTGAATCACTTTGGAAAGTGTCCCAGAAAAACTACACGTCCCTTTTATCTTCACAAGATTTTATATATATTTATGAAGGTGATTCTGTATTATAGTCCATCTTTTTGGGCATGGACTAATTTATATCTCTTCGTACTCATTCTGCATGATCTGTATATAATACATCAAAATTGAGGGATATGACCTTAAATTTAACTTTTTTTAAAAACTGGGAGGTCAATAAAAGTTACTTACCTGTATATACAAATGTTTAAATATTTTTATGTGGTGTGCTCTTGCTGTAAGTACAGCTGAAGGAGGAAGGCATGAGAATAACCATGCACAGTTACCTTTTCTGACAGTGGATGTGAAGACTTTCTCAGAAATTGTTAATAGTCCAAGTTGTCACACTTGGGAGGTTTACAATACAATGTAGCATCCTAGGGGTCCTTTAGAGTAGACATAGTTTAATGGCCTCCAAAACAAGAATTTATTAACAGTGCTTTGGGTACACACCAGAAATTTAACCTGGATTATATACTAAATTGGTAAGTGGCCAGTTAGACTTAAAGAACATTCTTGGTACTGATTTTTTTAATGACTGAACAATTTATATGTGCTATTAGGGTAACACATACCGTTTCAATAAAAGTCAACCGGGAAGTGATACAAGAAGAGATTCTTTCCCCTTTCTGTAGCTGGAATCACAAGAAGCCTTAAAAACAGCCCTCGTGCACTACCTGTAAGATGATGGAACAGGTGTAGGACAGGGTTTGGGCCACTGATAAAAGAGCCAGTTTTTCACTTTTAGTTCTTTTTGAGGTGGGATCTTGCTCTAATAGCCCAGGTTGGCCTTGGACTAACTCCCCATGGTTGTGCCTCAGCTGCGGGGGCTCAGATTACAGGTCTGCACCAGCACACCCAGCAAAGAGGGTCAGTGTTAATTGAAAACGAGCAGATTCCTGAGCACCAGTACTAAGGAGTTACAATATACTGTGTCACACCAAAAGTTTTAAACAAGAAGCCTGTCCTCAGTCCAGAAAATAATCAGTACCACATAATTAAACTGTAAGGTCTTTGATAGCATCACTGAGCTTAGTGTAAAGTGGCCCAGCCTACCTAAATGAAACCCACTGGGAAGTGGCACAGGTCAGAGCCCGCCTCCCCCCCCTCCTCCCCCCCCTTGCCAATAGTCTCCCAGGTGTGAGTCTCCATTCTTGGCTCCCTGCCTTTTCTCAACTGCCCTGGCTCCCCTCCATCTGTGGTGCTGGCTGGGCCCAGGGCCTGCCTTTGTGTACTGCTCCACCACTGAGCCTATTTCTGAGGTCATCCCTTTTGCTCTTCCCATAAATCCTTTGGGTCCAGTCATCTAAAAAAACTTTTGATGACTCAGTCTGAGTTAGTGTCTGTCTGAAGAGGAATCTGAGACAGTAATTGCCTCCTCTATATGTGAGCTCAGCGGGGACGCTGGCCATCGCCAGGATAAAGCAGACTTTCGGACAGCCACAGACAATGGCAGGTGATTACCTCTGGCTGGTCCTGAAGTGGTTCGTGTAACTGATGAGTAGACAAGGGTGCCAGCAGTACACAGCACTGCACAAAAACGCTGTATGGACACCAGCAGAATTTGGGAATATGAACTGTTTGGGAAAAGCCTGATAAGCAATTGTATCTTAAATTTTTTTGTGTATTACCTTTTCACATGAAGTTCCAACTTTAAATAAACAGGTTGATTTTGAGTAACAACTGTTTTACTTTTTATGTGCTATGTGACTTCTCATTTAATGGACAGAACTGTAGCTCTATCTTACCATTATGGTGACATGAAATAGTTGAGGCAGATTCCTAACGTTTTGTTGAAATAATTAAAAAGACTGCTGGCAGATGCAGGGTATGGTAGCACCCACTTGTAAGAATGTCAGGAGGTGGGCTGGGGATTTAGCTCAGCGGCATAAGCACCTGCCTTGTAAGCAGGCGGTCGTGAGTTCGATCTCTGGTACCGGTAAAAATGAAAAAGACAAAAAAATAGGAGGCTAGGGAAGGAGAAGCTTAAGTTTGAGGCCAGCCTGGGCAAATGAGACCCTTTCTCAAACTAAAAAATAAGCGCTGGGCATCTGGCCAGTGCTCCTGGGATTTAATCACTACTGTCATCAGAAACTGCCTCACAACTGACTGCTTAACTTGAAACTCCTAATAGGACAGAGCCATAAAAATCAAGCTAGCTCTCAGTACTTGATAATTTAGAGACAAAAATTTTATCTTTTGGGGGGAGCATCTAAATGGGAAATAAAATTTCCTGACCAGTATCTCTTTATACCCATGAATCCCTTTATTTAATGTGGGTTCTTTGGACCTACAAAATGACTCGATTTTGATTTTGATTTTGCTAACTGGAGCTGTTAACTTTGGTGGTACTGGGGGTGGTGCTCAGGAGCACTCTATCCCTGAACTACCAGCCTTTTTTAATTTTAGTACAAGGCCTGGCTAGATTGGTCCCACTGCCTCTAGCATGAAAACTCCCTCCTTAGCCTCCCAAACAGCTGGGATTTTAGGCCTCAGCCTAACCCTCAGCCACTATGCTCAGCTCTCTTGGAACTAGCTTTGGGACAATTTCCTCTGCCTCTTTCAGTAAAGAACACATGTCCAAGTGCCACGCATGGAAGCTAGTGTAAACGTTCACATGTTTAATTGTACCTTTAAAATAAGCAATACTACATTTAAGATGGTTCCAAAACGGATCTATAAAGGGTAATATAAATTAAAAAATATGAACTTAAAGTAAATAAATTTAACAGCTATGGTATAAATAATGGTCTATGTATAGTGTACCTTTGAGTCATTAAAATGTCTTTTAAAAAAAGGTAACAGTGTGTTCCAGAATGTTAGAAATCATTGCCATGATTCTCAAACTAACACTACAACTGACACTGTTTTGGTATTCTTCAGCGAGGGAATCAGTGCTGTAACCTCCACAATTACATCCCAATTCTGTTCTTCAGCAGATCTTAACCTCTTACACTCAGTGTTGAATACATGGCTCTTTTCAAATGAATACAGGGCACTGAGTTTAGAGGTCCATTTTGCGAAGGCTTATTCGACTGAAGGAATCTCTGGAGAAAAAACAGAAGACACAGTTAGAAGAAAACAAGAAGTGTACCACACTTTGAAAAAAAAATTCACAAAGATGTTTTACATACTTTTTCTTCCACAGTTATTTCTAAAGCTTTGCTGTGAGTTTTTTATTATCTTTGAAGCTCATTCTAATGTATTCTGCTTTATATATCCTGACCTACAGATTACAGACTGGAAATAACCATTCTGCTAAGTCTACTGATTTGATAGTGCGTTTGTTGAATAGCTGTCACTGATATTATAATCAGTCAAGGGCCAGATGATAGCAGAGCTTTTAAAGAGAAAATCTGGGCTATTAAATGGCAAAAGGCAGGTGTTTCATTAGAATATTTTAAGTCTTAAACCAGTGGTTTCAAAACTGTGTCTCAGATTCATTTTATGTTCTTAGAAATTATTGAAGAACTTAGAAAACTTGCTAATGTAAATATATGTATTGATAGTTACCATATTAGGAATTAAATGGAAAAACAATTTTACCAAAAAACTAATTACGTTACTACAAATAGCACATTAAAACTAAGCTGAAAGACATTTAGAAAACAGGCCCTGGTGCAGACTGGATGAAGAGAAATCCAGACTCTCCTGTCTGCCTCCATCCTCAGTCTTTTCTGATAACCATATTTCATGTCTTCGGGAAGATGTCGCAGCACCCTGAGAGTGTGAACATGGAAACAGGTGAATTGTATTTGCTTTTAACCGGAGGTTTTGAGGCCTTGTTCCTGCAAGGCTCTATGGACTCTTCTCCATGGGTCCTGGAGGGCATGGTCAGAACCACTGTCTTTAGATGTCACACCTACTGCTAAGTAACACTACAGCGTTTACATATATATATATATATTTGGTGCCAGCAATGGAACTCAGGACCTCACATTTGCCAGGTGAGTGCTGTGCAGATCTTACAGTGTAATTTTTTTTTTTTTTTTTTGCTACCAGGGATTGAACTCATTACCACGCGTTTGCCAGCAGGCACTCTGCCACTGAGCTAAACCCCCGGCCCCTTTGCAGATTTTATGTCTAAGAAATTTTTATTTTTTAAATTCCTAAGACTGGGAGAGGTAGTAGTCTCGAAATACCTTTTAATATGTTTTCCTTTGCCCCTGGCTGCTTACTTTTGCTTACCCTTCCTGCCATTAATTCATGCGCCTTGGTACCCTCAGGACAGGAAAGGCAGGCACACAGAAGTCACAGAGTTTTGCATCCCCAATCTCTTTTTTGATTACAATGAAAACAGCAGTCTTGAAAGCTATCTATGGTTCAAGGAGAACGGGTTTTTCTAAATTCCAAGAATCTACATAGAAACATTAATTGAAGCTAAAGTTGGGTAGAGGGTGCATACCTGTAATCCCAGACTCAAGAGGCAGAGGCAAGGTCTGCCAAGGTCAAGGCCAGCCTGGGCAACACAGCAATTTAATGATTTAGCAAGACCCTAGTTCAAACAAGGCCTGGTGATATAATGCAGGGCAAATAAACACTGTTAAATAAATACATAAATAAAGGGCTGGGATGTAGCTCAATGGGAAAGTGCTGTTAGTGTGACTCAGGTCCTGGGCTCAGTCCCCACAAGCAGCTGGAGCTCAGAGAACTGGCTATGAAGTGATCACAGACAGTTCAGATCTGGTGTGAGGCGTCCATTGGAGAGGAAAGACATGGCCTTCTGAGACACGAGGCAGAGTTCTGGGCACCCCTCTGAGGGCAGGAAATTCACGGTGCCTGACAGGATGGATGCGGAATGGAGGGGATAGGATGTACTCTCCCCAGGGACTCTGCAAGGACACCTCCCCCAGAACCATGGCTGTGCGGGTTTGGGTTGGTAGAAACCGGCTAGAGGCTGTGGCCTCTGCCCCTGCAGGGGCCTTTGCCCCCTCAGGCTGAGGAAGACCCTGCGAAGCTGAGCAGAGCACAGCGGGATGGGATGCTTCCCAGTGGGTGTGAGTAAACTTATCCATAGACCTCAAAGTAGGACTGGGACTGATTTCCAGGTGATTAAACAACTAGTTTAATTTTCTTCTGCAGTGCCAAATTCCCTGCATCTGCACTGTTTTTGCATAAGCAGCTCCAATAGCCTTGCAGGTATTAATTTGTCAGTCCCCGTTTATAGTGGTCACTCCAAGAACAGTGAGTTAAAAGATTGCAGTGCCACAAGAATCTAACAGTTGTATGTAAATTTGATTTCAAAATGTAGTTTACTTTTAGCAGTTTCCTGTGTCCCTTCCAGAAGTCGGATGCTAACAGCTGCATGTGGGCACTGCCCAGGACTCTGCACATGTGATGCATTTACTCCTAACAACCTGTGCAACGCAAGCAGTGTCGTTTCACTGGAAGACAAATCTAAAAAGCAGATGAGGTTACCCTCTCCTACAACTGGGTTCAGCTGTACACAGTTCCAAGCTGTTTCCATTTCTACTTTGCCCGCACTTAAAAAAGGAAGAAAACTACGTGTACTACTTAGTCATAGTGGAAGGAAATGGAACACTTGAGTGAATTTTCCCCTCCAAAAAAAACCAGAAAGTGATTTTTTCTGATACAGAAACCGACAACTTACTGCCTCAGCCTCCGAGTGGTAGGATTACAGCTGTGCACCACCACAGGTGCCTATGACAGGACTTAGAGGGAATGGTTTGGGGCCAGACTTGAAGAGCTGCTCCAGGTGGGACGTGTGTTTAATGCAACGTTATGATTCTCTGCGCACAGCCTGATTAATGTACAGTGGGCAAAAGGCTTACACTAGTTTATCATTGGGTTCCGGGGGATACAACACCTGAAGCCACATAGTAAGAGTTACCCTACTTCACTATTAAAGAGCTTAACAGTGATGGGACACCAGGCGCACCTGTGGCCGGAGGTGGGCAGCACGGCCTTGTACAGCTGTGGGATCTTCCTGTTGGTCAGCGGCTGCAGCGCCTCCTTCAGGCGGTGGTAGTTCCTCTCCAGCTCCCGCTGGTACTCCTTCTGGTCCGGCCCAATTAAGCTCTTATTCTTCCGCAAGGCGTCCTCACACCTGGGGGCAGGACACACGGTACCACAGGGCTGCTTCCGGCAGGGCTGGCAGGCTCGGTGCCACCCATGCTTGAGAACACACGTGAATGCGTGCACATGCCTTAAGGACAGGCTTTTAGCTGAGGGTTAAATAAGCCTTTCCTTTGGCTTTAAGGCAGGGGATTGAACAGATGGCCAACCGAGTCCTTGTACAATCTAGTAAACACTTGCAGTTTTGTCTAATTAAAAATTTTAAGCATCCATTTTGAAGCTGCTTTCTGATGTCACCACCGGCCTGGACCCCATCATAGGACACGCTCATACCTGCTAGTGTGGCGGCGATGCTGCCTTTGTGCAAACACATTTCCCTGTGAACAGTCCTAGACAAGGGTCCTTCATCCAACTTACTCAGATGTTTAAGAGGAATATCTGGAGCCCAAGAGATGAAGGAAGTAAGAACAGTTTTTAAAAGCAGCCATATCCACACTGGTGGGCTGCAGCACACTGGTACCTGGAAGCGGCCCTGATGCTGTGTCACAGAGGAGGCTCAGAGGAAGGGTGAGCACTAGACCAGGCGATGTGGAAAGGGGAACCCTGACAGTGCGACGAACCATCGAGGGCCGCGGAGCGTGAAGGGA